CCGTTTTTGTAAGTGAAAACTTTTCCCTTGACATCTTCAAAAATGATGGTTCCCGTATCTGGGTTGCCATGGAGACACAAGACACGCCCATCACAAGAAGTAGACATCCTATAAATTAACAAAAACAACAAGTAAACAACAACAATAAACAACAACAATAAACAACAACAATAAACAACAACAACAACCTTTCAGTGATACAGGATTCATTAATTTCGTATTCAACAATAGAGTCTTCATCACATGATTTGTTGACTATACCTACTAATAAACCATCAGCCCCCCACACAATCTGACGCAACTTATGAATAGAAAAACCGTCACCTTCCATACATGGAAACCTAATAATAATAATAATAATAATAATCATACAAGGAAATCTAATAGCAAGACATTAATGAATCTTTGTCACCAATTTCTAAGTAATAATAACCAAATTTTGATTAAAAATTCTGACTTTCTCTGAGGTAAAAATTACGTGAAAACTGTTGCCCCCTTTGGGGTAAAAATTAGGCAAAAATTGTGGCCCAAATTAAGGTTGAAAAAAAAATCATATTTTAAGTTAAAAATGTAGCCTACTTTGAGGTAGGAATTGTCACATTTATAAAGATGATAATGATCAATCATACCTGAGGTTAGTTAAGGTGTATTCCATCTTAGTGCTGGACTTTGCAACGTAGACTGATCCATCAGACAGTACTATAAAAAGGTCGTTGGGGGTAGGGGGTGGGGCAAAAAGTTGCCATGACAACAGGAGATGGGAACATAAGTCGCTTATGACTCATTGGAGGAGGAATGATAACATCACGAAAAGGTGTCAATAATAACACCTCTAATGATATTCATGAGTATTAATTAATTAATTAATTTTACCTCCATCAATTACTGCCACTGTTGAATTATTATTAACATTTAACGAGGTACTGGTGACCACACCCCTCTTCCAATTATACTGTATATACTGACCATCTAAAATTAAAATTTAATAATTAAAATAATTTAATTTGATTTACTGTTCAGCAAGGTGTGAAGATGTAATGGTACAATTGGATCCCATACAACACCTGTATAATGAGTGGGCGTAGTCTCATCAGTAGGTGTGGTTTTTGACGACTGTATCTCTTGTTTAAGATACCAGTGATAATTACTAACAGACCACAGCTGGACTAGTAAAAGAAAAACATACATGTAGATTACTGTATAGCACTTCATTTTAGCAATTATGGTTGTAGTTATGATTTATAATTTTGCAACGAAGCAAGAAACTGCGAAATTCGCAAAAATATTTAACTGTGACAATAAAATGGTACATTACTGATCATGGACATTAATGATTGGTGGGTTAATATACTGGGGAATGGGGATTTCACTTGCAAATCGCCAATCAAAACTCAGTCAAATTAAAGTGCTATAGAGTACATCCTAATTTACTGTATGACTTCTTATCTTTATCATTAGTCTCCAGCCACACTGCTAAAACTGATGAGTCAGCATTCCACGATAATCCTTTGACGATGACTCCGCCCCTTCTGAGTGGGAACTCTCCATGCCTTAGGGTATTCCGTTCATAAAAGACGATGAGAACTGATCCACTAGTCTCAGTCAGTGATGAAGCTATGAGGTGACCTCTTGACGACCAGTCGATGAATGGGCCCAGACTAACGATGGGCTCTGAACTGGAGTGTAACACGCCTTCTCTGGACCACACCCGAAAACACCTCAAACCTAATTATTAATTGAAATTACTAATTATTAATTGGGTGACTGGAGCTGACAAAATGTACTATTTTGGCAGTTAATAAAATTCGTCTTTAAAGCAAAAATTGTCAACTTGCAAGTGCTTCTCTGACAAAGCTCTGTTTATATAAAACTAGCAAAAAACTTTTTACACTCAGTCTAAAAAGATAAGTTTAACTGGACATGTGCAAAT